TGCGGCCTGGCGCCTGTCCTCGCGCCCTGCCCGGGCTCGCCAGCACGGCGGGAGACGGGCGCCGGGCTAGCAGCCCTCCGTGTCGGTGTTGTCGCTGCCTGTGGTGTTCTCCCGGTCCACCTCCCCCTGGCGCCAGCCGTTCTGCATCTTCCTGAGGGCCCGCTTCCTGCGGGACACAAAGCGCAGGTGTCTGCAGGGGGCCGCGTGCCCGCCGCAGACGCCACAGACACCGAGGCCCGGCTGCGTCCTCCCCCGCCCGGCCCTTCCCCTCCCCAGCCGGCCACCTGCGGTAGTTCTCGAAGCTCTCCTTGAGGCGCCTCCGCTCCTTCTCCGGGGGCTCCCCGCTGCTCAGGCCTGCGTCCTGCACAAGGGGGAAGGCTCAGGCGCCAGGCAGCACTGCGGGTGGGACCCCCCATGCCCTCTGCACACGCGCACATGCCCCACCCGGCCCCTGGGATTGCAGGCTAGTGGGGAAGCTGGGAGCCCAGCCGGCCTTGGCTCGGCTCACACAGCGCCAGGCTGCTGGACCCGTGAGTTGAGCTGGGAGTTGGTGTTCTGCCCTGTAGCGTCCCTTCTACTGCAGACCCTGGGGTGGCCCTTTAGCTGTTGGGACACTTGGCGCAGTGGGCAGTGAGGCCAGGTTCCTGGTCAGGGTTTACGCACATCCACTGCAAAGGCCCCTAAGAAACCAGCATGCCCTTGCAGAAAACAGGCATCCCAGGGCTGTCGTGCCCTGGGACACCCCCCTGCCTAGCCCACCCAAGCCTGCTGCTTTGTCCCAGAAAGGAGGGTGCTCCACTTCATGTTCCAAACACCACCCTCCAAAGCCCATGGGCACAGAGACCTTATGATCACTCCTCAGCTGTCCAGGGGCCACTGGAGGGCGGCGTCCCCTGTCGAGGAACCTCCCTCCCCATCATCAGTCACTCTGAGACCCACAGCCAAGGTACCCAGGGTGGCAGGGATCCCAGGGCAGCCTTACGTTGGGGGTCAGTGAAAGCCGCTCCTTCTGCAGAGGCCCAAAGGGGGGCTCCGAGCTCTCCACTTCGGCCAGGCCCCCTGGAAAGGAGAGTCGTGCCTGTCAGTGGCCCAACTGCCACCTCCACCGCTCCCTGCTGGCTTTGCCAGATGATTTCTGCAGTTGGTGTTACAGGCTCTTGTGGGATCTTCACATGGAGCCAGTGAAGACTACATGTTACAGCCAAGGAGACTGAGGCTGAGACCTTGCTGCCCACTCCTCACCCCCAGGTCAAGGCCCCCAGGGCAGGGCAGAGGCTGCTGGACACTCTTCCCACCCACCGTCCCCTCCTCCTGAGCTGGTTGCCTCCAAGTGGCAGAGGACAGACAGCAGGAGGCCTCCTCAGACCGCTGCAGATTTGCCCACTCACAGCTGGCCTAGCAGTTGAGAGAGCACTCCAGATGGCTGGACCCTCGGAATCCTCCAGGGCCTGGACAGATCAGGGCTGAGGCCCCTGGGGCAGAGGTGCTCTGATGGCCAGGCGGGGAGGAGAGGTCCAGGCCAACCCGGCCACGCAGCAGCACCTCCTTGGGCCCCCCACTTGCCCTCTGACCTTCACAACTGCCCAGGTGCCCACCATGGCCACCCCCTGGGAGAGCTTTCTGAGCAGGTGACTCCTGGGTCCTGCCCCCTCTGTGCCCACGTGGGGGCTCAGAGGCCTCAAGTTTACGTCTTCTGGGTTGGGGCAGATGCCCACCCCCATCACTTCCCCATTTGCAGCCCCGTCTTCCCCTTTTGCCTCCGCTTAGAGGCTGGGGTCAGGCCTGAGGCTGAGGAAGTCTGACTGCCCATGCAAACTCCCAGGGCCCCACCTCCTCCACCCTTCCCCCAGGTACTCCCCAAACCTCCCACCTGACATCTACCTTCTGAGCCAGTCCCTCCCCCTTGTCACCAGCTCCTGGGGAGGCAGCCACAGCTCTGGCCACCCCCACCCAGACCTGCCTCCAGGCAGGCAGAGGAGTCCTGCCCCACCCACTGAGAGCCTGCAGTGGCCCTCGGCCACCCCTGTGCACAACCCCATCCCTGGCTCCTCATTCCCCGGCCTTGTGCACTGGGCACTGACTTTCTGTCCCTCCCTCGGCTCCAGAGGAGCTCGGTGAGGCAGGATGGCCAGGCCTGTTAAGCTGTGCATCCCCAGGGCCTGCCCAGAGTGGGGGCTCCGCACCCACTGCCCAAGAGGGGGACTTGTCCTGCCAACCTGGGCTCCTCATTCAAATCGGGCTCTCGTTTGCTCTCTGGCTGACCTTGACAAAACTATTTCTCCTAAGCCTCAGTTTCCCCATCTGTAAAGTGGGAGTCATGAAGGCAGAAGAGACCAGTTGTGAGTTACGCAGCCAAGTGTCCCCAGGACTGGCCACAACTTGGGGCAGCCAGGAGGCTGTGACTCAGGTGCCCTGTGCTGAGGAGGCCCCGGGTGGCGCATGGTGCACCCGTCCGTCCTCACCTTTGTCTGAGAGCTGGGCGTCCTCTTCCAGGTCCTGGGGGAGCGAGAGCTTCCAAAGAGAGATGAGTCGTCTGGTCAGGCCGTTCTGTGAGTCACCGTCACCCCTCCTGGGACTGGACCTGACCCACCCCACTGCCCATGCCCGCTCCTGCCCCGTTGCTGTTGCTATCAGTCCTGTGCACAGGGACTCAGGCTGCCCAGCCAGGCGGGGCTGGGGCATGGGGAGCCCGGCCTGAAGTTCCTGCTGTCAGGGGCTGGGAGGTGGCCACTGTCCATGCCTCACTCTACCCCTGAGCAAATGGAGGCCTTGCACCTGCCTGGCCAGCGTTGGGGAGGAGGGGCAACAGCCAGCTCACTAGAGCAGGACCTTGCAAGGGCGATGTGGGACTGTGGCCTGGCAGAGGCTGTGGCCGGGAGCCCAGGTGAAGGCCAGCCCTGTGCCCACCCTGTGGACCATCCTCACCTCCTGGGAGTTCCTGGGGGAGCTGTCCTCCAGGTCAGAGCTCTGTGGTCACAGAAAAGAGGTCGGTCAGCAGGCTGTGGGGGCTCCGAGCCACCCCCAGGTGTGAGGTAGGCAGGATGTGTTGAGGAGTCCCAGGCCAGCCCCATCCTCCAGGGAGGCCCTGTGCCCGCCCTCAGCCACACCAGGCCCCTCTCCAGGCCCCCTACCCAAAACGTCCCCTTCTCCCTGACCAGACCCACAGCAGCCTGGCAGCCTGCCTGATGGTGGCTGCCCTGGTCTTAGCCACCGTCCAGCAGTCCCACTTCCTGCTCAGGCCCGGAGCCGCGTCTACACCCCTCACCCACTATGAGGAAGGGGCTCGGTTAGGATGAGCTGACATCCCAGGGGAGGAAGGGGGTTCAGGAAGGCCCAGGGACCTGCCAAGGCCACCGTGGAGCAGTGGCCAAGCCAAACCAGGCGGGGGCTGTCCTGAGGCTCCACGCCCCTCCTCCAGGCTCCAGGACCTCTGAGGACAGGCCCGTGCTCTGCGTGGCATGCCGCTGCGCCCACTGAGGCTGCCCTCACCGCACAGGCCCCGGGGACCCACCAGGACAAGCGTCTCCGGCTGCTGCCGCTTGAGCCTGCCCTCGGCGGCCAGCAGCTGGCCCTCGCGCTGGAACAGCAGCAGCTGCAGCTCGTCCGCCTTCTCGCCCAGCTCTCGGACCCGCTTGCGCAGCCCGTCCTTCTCCTGGAGGCTCCGCGCGTACTGTGTGTGCAGCTCCTCCCGCGAGCCGATGGCCTGAGGACGCAGCCAGGGCAGACCCTCAGCCGCCAGCCTCTAGCGAGCTCCCCGCAGACCCTCAGCCGCCAGCCAGCCGCCCAGCAAGCGGGAACTGCAGGGTGGGGGAGCCCGCGGCCGGCCGGCCCCGGCCCTTCCTCTTTGTTCTTCGTGGACAACGTTACCGTCTGGGGGACCGTGAGAATAATCAGGGCGTGCAGGAGAGTGTGGATGGCTGAGAACTAGAGGGGAGGACGAGAGTGTCCCTGCTCTCCGCGCTCAGGACAGCACCTGCGGGCCCCGTGTCGCCCCCGGCCCTGCAGCCCTGTGGGCCTTCAGCGTATGCTGGTGCCCCCACACGTGTTATATAAAACACAGATGTAGCTTGATACCAAGAACGTGGTTACGGCTGCGTAAGATGAATGCACTGCCTGTTGCATCTGACCCCCGTGGGGGACACCAAGGTATGAGAGACCCAATGTGTGAGGGGACGTGGCCAGACGAGACGTCAGCACAGAGCGCTGGCCTGCAGCAACCAGCCCCGGCCAAGGCTAAACCAGTAACCGGCAGCTCCCCTACCCTTTGTCCCCTCTGCCTGCTTAGGACCAACCAGAGAAAGCCAAACACCTCCCCTGACGGGTCCCACAGGCAGCCCTGCTTTGGGAGCCGCCCAGCCCCGTGGAGCTTCCTGCCCCTGCCCCTGCAGCCTCTGCCAGACACACGTGCGGTGGCCGGCGGCGGCTCCTGTCACTAGCCCCAGCCCTTTTCATGGTGGGGAGGGGTGGTCTTTGTTTTTTCCCACAGGCGGCTCCCAGGAGTCTGTGTGAGCTCCTGGCACATATCACCAAACAACGCTCCAGCATTTGCTGAAGCACCGACTGTAGGGCTAGAAGTGACCTCGGGATCGTGCTGGGACGCAGTGAAGTGGACGCTGCCCTGCATGGGGAGGCTCCGTACTGTTCACAAGAACGGGGCTGGCCAAGGCACCCACAGTTTTTTTAAAATGAAAAAACTATTTGCAAAACAAGACTATGGAAAGCTTCCATTTTAGTAAACCAAAAACTAAATGTATGTTGGAAAAGTCCGGAAGGCAGAGCCAGAAGGTAGACCGTGGTTCCCCCTGGTAGTGGGTCGGAGTGGGGGTGGGAGAAGGGGACTGTTAACTCCGTCATTGTTAACATTGTTTAAATGAGTGCGCACGTCATGCCCGCAGGGACCTGGGAACGGCTCCCGCCTAGTGTCCACGGGGCAGTACCTACCTGGTCACGCTCTATGGCGACCTCTTCCATCTGCTGCAGGATGGCCTCGATGCGGTCCTTGTACATCTTGGAGTCCTTACGCAGGGCCAGGCACTGCAGCTCGGACGTCTCCTTCTCCTCCAGGCACTGTTTGAGACAGCAGCTCAGCCCCCCTGCCTGCAGCCCCCATCCCAGCCTCTGGGTGTACCCAGGGCAGGAGCTCACGACACACAGTCAGGCTGCTGGTCCCTACCAGCCCTGCGCTTCCAGACTAAGGCCAGGTCCGTCCCAGAGACTGTGGCCGTGGCCACCGTCCTGCCACAGGCACTGTGAGCCCAAAGGTTGTCCCTCACCACCCTGGGGGATTGTGGCAAAGACTGGCACAGGAGGGCTGGACCTGACCCCTGGGCCTCCAGGAACAGAGGCAGTGGAGACATGGAGCCAGGATCCCAGCACCAGCCTTCTGAGCACCAAGTGGGCACAGCACAGCCCATCCGGCCTGGCTTGGCCCCCGGGACCAGTGTCCACCTGCCCCGCCCTCATACCCGGGCACGTAGCGCCTCAGCCCGGCGCAGGTCTTTGCGCAGGGAGAAGATGGTGTTGGCTTGCTCCTGGTGGTCCCGCAGTGCCTGCCGCCAGTCCTCCTCCAGCACCTGGATGTAGGGGCTGCTCCTGTCCAGCTTCCCCTCCTGCAGATGGCAAAGGGCAACGGCCCGGCTGGGGAGGCCCAGCAATCCTGCCGGACTGTGCCTGCTGCGCTCCCGGCCGCCATGCCACCCTGCCTGGTGCGGCTCCGCCCGCAGCGCACCTGGACAGAGGCCTCCAGCTCCTGCACCCGGGCCTGCAGGAGTGCCTTCTCCTGCTGCAGCTCCCATAGCAGCTCCTGGCTGGGCCGCTGCTCCATGGCATGCCGGAGCTTCAGCGTGTGCTTGCGCTCCACCTTGCAGTCGTCCTCCGCCTTCATGAGGCTGTGCTTCAGCCGGTCGATCTGCAGGGGACACCCATCAGCCCGGCATGCAGACCCCACCCCCAGGACACCCCAGCGGGAGCGGGCAGCACCTCGAGCTGCAGGTCGCGGTTCCGCATGAGCGCCGCGCCCTTCTCCTCGCTCTGGCGCGCCAGGCGCATGGCCAGGTCGTAGTTCTCGTTCTTGCAGCGCTTGAGCTCGCGGCTGCAGGCCTCGCTCTCCTCCTTGAGCCTCTGCACGCGCTCCTGGTGCTTGCGCAGCAGGCTGTCCTTCACCCGCAGCTCCTTGATGAAGTCGTCCTTGGAGCTCAGCAGCGCCGTCAGGTCCTGCACTTTCTTCTGCAGCTTCATGACCTCACTCATCAGCAGCTGTGTCAGGCCCGACTCCCCCGATGCATCTGAGGACCAGGCCAGTGTCAGCTGCTGCCATCGGCCGCCTGTCACCCCCAAGTCCCACTCCATCGTGGCCCTGGCCCTCAGAACTTGTCCAGACCTGAGTGACTTGAGCAGCAGCAGCTCGAGGTTCCTGGGGATGCTGAGCCTGGCTAAAGGGACACCGCTGGCCTCCCAGAGAGAGAGGGCCAAGCAGAAAGCCTCCCTTGGGGCCCCTTCTCCCTCCCAGCGAGTGCAGCCGTGGGCCACCTCCCCATCACTGACCCCCGTGTGGGCGAAATGGACTCAAGCTTCTACCTCACCTCCAGTGTGCAATCCCCCGCCAGGACACGGGGCTGCCAGGGGGCCAGGCCATCCCCTGCCTGTCTAACTTTGTAACAGATCTTAATGAGTTGCAGGAAGGTGGCTACGGCTACCCCGGCTGGGACAGCTCCCTTTGCAGCTGCTGGGAGCTGCAGGACTCTGCCCTCCCAGGGGCAGCGGCTGTGGGCTCGGAGGCAGGAGCTTTAACAGAGTCATGCCCTCTCCTGGGTGAATATTCCCAGCGGGACCCTGGACAGTCAGGGTTCACTGGTTCACTCTGCCAAGTGGACAGGGGCAGGACCCTGAGGACCTGGGGTGGAAGCCGCGACCAGCAGCCTCCCTCCCGGCACAGACCTGTCTTCTCCACCCTTCCCATGTTCTTTCATGCCCAATGTGTCGGGTGAATAGACCAGAGACGGTGGGCCTTCTGCCTGGCCCCAATGCCAGCCCCACCCCCACATGGCCCGGCCCCGCCCCGCCCCCATTGCGGGCTGGCCCGTCCCGCTCACCGATGATCATGGAGAAGACGCGGGTGGGTTCCTTGCCCGTGACCTTCTTGTACAGCTGCGGGTAGTACAGTTCCAGGCTTTCGAGGAAGGCCACGTAGCCCTTGTGACCCGTCCGCTGCAGGATGTCCAGGAGCACGCCTGTAGGCCAGAGAGGCTGGGCTGGGGCTGGGGGCCGGGGGCAGGGATCGGGGTGGGGGGGTCGGGGCGAGGGGGCCTGGTGTTGGCTCGGGAGACGTGGAGGCTGGGGAGAGACAAAAGTGGGGTGCACTCTGGGCAGAGGGGACCCCAGGCTGTGCGGTGCCACCGCCTCCCACCCCCGGGCTGCCTAGGGCCTCCTTGTAGAGGGGTCTGGGTTGCAGGATGAGGCACCCTGCAGGTCTCCTTCCCAGGCTGGGGACAAATTGTTGCCCACCCACCCCTGGGCTCTCCCAGGGGCCTCAGCTGTGGTGGAAGCTTGACTGCCCCTTGCCTCTGAGCAGCACCAAGGAGACAGGAGGAAGGCTGGGGGTGCCAGGGCCACAGCTGGGTGGGCCCTCCTGGGGTCGGGGGCTGGGCAGGCAGAGCCAGCACCTGCTCCGGGCTGGCACCTCGGCCAGGACTGGGGCCCTGGGGTCTGCCCGCTGCAGGGCAGCACTGACCCACTTTCCGTTTGCGGATGACCAGGTTGGGGTCGCTGAGCACCTGCTCCTCATCATCGGGGTTCAGGACCTTGCACTGCCGCAGGTAGGGCGTGATGCGTGAGGGGTCGATGACGGAGATGAGCTTCACGCGGAAGCTCTCCAGCACGCTCCAGCACTCGTCTTCGTTCTCGTAGTCCGACATGGCCTGGCAGGAGGGTGGCCGGAGTCAGGGAGGGCGGCGGAGATGGTGGCCACCGCTGCTCCCCACCCAAGCCCAGAGCTGCTCCCTGAGCGGCCAGTCCACACCAGGGCCCGGGCCTGCGGGTCCCACCAGGGCTGCAGGCAGGGGTGTCCTGGTGTTCAGCCTCATCTCCCGTCTCATGACCAGTACCCCTGGGAGACGACAGAGGTACAGTGATCTGCTTCCCCTCAGACCACCTGGCCAGCCCCTCCCTAGCCTTTCCTGAGCCCCTGCTCCTGCCCCTCTGCCATCAGAGCTTTCTCTCTCCCCGAGTTACCCAGATAAGCATGTGGGAGGGGACAGGTGCACCACAACCCTGTTCTGGCCTCTGTCCCCCGGACACCCCCAAAGTGCTCTGGAGCCTGCAGGGGCAGCTGCCTCCCAGCCATGGAGGTGAGTGGATGGGAGGAGCTATTTGCACCTGGGATCCTGGCACCTGCCTGGCACCGCCTCCTTGTGCAGCACGGGGGTGGAGGTAGGAGGGTCCAGCCCCCAGCCAGCCAGTGTCCAGGCTGGGGCAAGAAGGAGGTTGCATGCGACCCTCCCGCCTTCGCAGTGGCTGAGGGAGCCAGTCTGTGCAGGACTTCCTCATTCCCCCTGGTTAACGCCCACTCACATCCCAGGCCCCTGCCCTCCAATCCTTCCTTCCGTTGTAGCTGGCTGGTGGTGTAACAGGATGGCCTGGCCACCCAGCCTCCAGCAGCTGCCTGTCACTGTGCTATCCAGGAAGGGCCACTGAGGATGGCCTGAGGAGCATGTGTCACCCTGTCAGACCTGGGCACAAGGGGGTGGGGGCCGGCTCGGCTGCTAATGCGGTGCCTTCTGCAGGTTCTCAGGTGGGGGCTCCAGCAATCCCTGGGCCGTTCTCCTGCCCCAGAGGAGGCTTGGCTCCTGGCACACACTTGGCAACAGGCAGGTGCTGTTCCCTTCTCCCAGCAGGTAAGGCCTCGGCCGCCTGAAGCTGCTGTCTCTGGGACTGGGCCAAGGCAGGAGCAGCCATGCAGTCACACCTCTCCCCACAGTGGGAACAGAGCCCCTGGCCCAGTCCCCTCACAGCTTCCAGCCACCTACCCCTTCACCCTGTGAAATGCTGGTTCCAAGCCTAAAGGAGCTGGCCCTGTGTCCCAGACACAGGTCCCAGCATGTTTGGACTTTTGAGGAATTTCCAACTTCCTGCTGCCCCTTGTTGTCCATTCATCAGACGAGGCAGAGGATTGAATGAAAATACCAGCGACTCGGTGCACGATACCTGGAACGCTGGGCCCATTCCCTGCTTTTCTAGCCTAAAATCCACGAGGTCCCACACCTGAGTCCCACTGGAATGAATAAGTACCTCCCAAGTGGCTGCGGGGGTCAGAGCAGGACAGCGGAGCCGCCCGGCCGGCCTGTGGAAAACCGTGCGCTGTTCTAGGGTGTTTGCTCCAGGATTCCCAGCAGAGCCCACGCTGGTCTTCCCAGCCATCCGTCAGAAAAGGCACCAGACCAGCCTACCTCAGTGTCCTCCTCCAGGAGCCACCTGCCCAGCTGGACGCTGCGCCTTGCCCCCACCACGAGCACTCCAGTAGCCCGGGCTACCCTCAGCCTTTTGGAGATGCTGCCAGCAGCCCGGTGCTGGAGGGAGGGTGGAGCCCGTGCGGGAAGCCTCTGTACTTCCTGATGGGTTCTGGTGAACTCCACAGAGGCCCAACCGGTCTTCCCGCAGGGGGACAGTCCCTGCTGGCCTGCCTTCTGATTCGTCCAGCCAGGGCAGTCCCAAGAGGCGGGGCAGAGGGGAGTGGACGCCTCTGCTCTCCAGAGGACGGCTGCCGAGAACCTTGCCAGCCTGCCCAGCAGCTGGGGGTCCTGGGGCTGCCCTGGAGACCCAGCCCTGGCACCTGGCCAAGTAGAAGTGAGCACAAAGGCCCCCGGGGCTGGAGGAGGCTGGCCACTGTCCAGCCCGCTTTCGCCTGGACGCAGGCTTCAGGAGGCTCCTCCAGAGCATGCCCTGTGCCAAGCGGCTTCACCCTCACCAGCCTCCCTGGGGACAGCAATGCAGGCGTGCGCTGGCAGCAGCAGTCAGGCCTGCAGTGGAGAGTGCTCAGCCCTGACCCTAGGCTCATGCCCACTCAGCCTGACCAGCACACACATTGGCACACGAGGCTGGCAGCCTACAGCCTACCACATGGCATCCAAGAGGGCACGCAGGGCTCAGGAGGCTGCTGCCGCCTGCCAGGGGCTATAGGCACCGGCCTGCCCACTCCTGCCGCTGTCAGCCCACCATCTGGCTGGCACACCCTCGTCCTTCCCGGGTGGGAGCGAGGCTCGTCCCTTCCTGAAGTGCCTCTCCTGATGTCCCCACACTGCTCCCATCACTGGGGCACCCCACCATGCTCCTCCCTCTCCACCAGCACACGTGGGGCCTCGGGGGCTGCTCTGGGGCCCATAAGCAGTCTCAGGACTGCTGACGGCATGGCAAAGCTCAGCCAGCATCCATGGACAAGGGGCAGCAGGGTCCTCCATGGGGTGCGCCTTGGCATCCAGCTCTGGACAGCCGGGCCCCGTCCCTGACGCAGGTATGGGGAATCCCCAGGCCATGCCTCACCCCACACGGCTGCTGAACCGAGCTGCCGCCTGCCAGGCTGGGGCAACAGCCGCCAGGAAGGAGCAGCCGGGCGGGAAGGGCGGGATGCTGGCGCAGCTCACCTGGCCGCTCCCTTCCTGTCTGGCCTCTGACCTCAGCCCAGGGGCTCTTGTCTGCTTCCTGGCCCACAGCCTGGCCCTCCTGCTGGCCTCTGTGGCCCCACATACAGCACTGAGGGCAGTTAGACACCCTGCCAGACCCCATGTACAGCTTGGGGGAGCCATTCTCCTGGGATTGTGCCCCACCCCAGGCCTCCTAGCTGGCAGCATGGGCAAGTGGCGAGTGGGATCCCGGGGTCCCACTGCCACAGTGGGTGCCAGCTGGGGCTGTGCTCTCACCCCATGGGTAAGCCTGTGCCAAGACCTCAACAACCCCGCGTTGGCATTTGTAAAACAGGGTAATGGGGTGTTCCTTGGATGTGTGTTCTTAAGAATAAAAATGTCATGTTCTCTGATCATATCAGAATTAAAATGGAAATCAGTAACAGAGATATCTGGAAAATCCCTACATATCTGGAAATTCAATAACAAACCTCTAAGTAACCCATAGGTCAGAGAAAGCCACAAGGAAAAATAGAAATTAGTTAACAGTACCAGGCACAAAGTAACACACACACACACACACAGTAGCGAGTCAGACTGTGCATGAACGGCGAGCGTGCGGTCTGCGGGGCGCAGGCACGAGTGGACCCTTTGGTGATCGCTGCTGAAGCTGGGGATGAAGATGAGGGATGTGCACACTTACTCTCATTTCTGTGTGTTGGACATTTTCCATAATAAAAAAATGAAAAAACCTTGAGCACGCAACAAGAATGAAGCTCACAGGACACCGAGGGTCGCTGAGATGGGGGCTAAGAAAGGAGGGAGCTGGGGGCTGGCGCGTGGCTCACTTGGGAGAGTGCGGTGCTGATGACACCAAGGCCACGGGTTTGCATCCTGTATAGGGATGGCCGGTTCGCTCACTGGGAGAGCGTGGTGCTGACAACACCAAGTCAAGGGTTGAGATCCCCTTACCGGTCATCTTTAAAAAAAAAAAAGAAAAAGGGAGCTGGACAGAGGCAGAGTCAGGACTCGGTCTTATGCCAAAGAAATGCCCCTGCAAAAGGAAGGAATCGCTTCGTGACTGTGGGCAGCCCGCTGGCTGCTGGTTCCAGGGAACCGGCCTGAGGCTGGCCTCTGTGGTCTGGGTGGCTGCAGGAGGGCTGCAGCCGGCTGGGGAGGGCCCTGGACTGCTTCCTGCTCGGGGTCTGAAGGACAGAGCCACAAACACTTTTCATGAGATGTTCAGAAGCCTGCTTCTTTACTTCCTTTCCTTGGCCCAGGATCCCTGGGCTTGAGGGCCAGGCCCATGGCCCAGGGAGCAGTCAGCAACGAGGACCCAGTGGCTGAGCCAGCTGGCATCCCTCAGGTCCCCCAAGCTGAATGTGCCAGGACAGGTTGGGCGCTGGGAGGTGGCTGATCCCAGCAGGGTGGGGTCTCTGGGCACAACAGCTCAGTATCTCCTCAAGACAGCAAAACTGCAAGAGCCTATATCCTGCTTTTTAAGTAAAAAATAAAACATTTACTTTATTCTTTCAAACATTCGGATTTGCCCTTAGGGACCAGCCAAGCCCCTGTGATGACATGGTCAATGTTTGCAGAGCCTCCCCTGCCTCCGGCCGCTTTCTTCTGCAGGGTGGGTGTTGGGCTCCTGGGGCAGGTATGGGCCCTGCTTCTTGACAGCAGCAGCAGTGGGCTTCCAGGCCCTGGGGAGTCCTCATCCTGAAACATAACAACACCCCGATAGTGGGGGCACCCTTGACACCCAGCCCGACCCCCTGGACAGCGCTGTCAAGGTTCAGGAACCAAAGCTGGCACTGTGCCACGTGGGGGAAGGTGGTGCCGAGCAAGGCCTGGATGTTTACCTTCCAGTCCACCTGTGCCCTGCCCCCAATGGCCCACGAGGAGGGCCACCCTGAGGACAGGTGCTGGGGCCCAAGGGTGGAGTGCAAAGAAGGCCACTGGACCATCCCAGGCATCCCCTGTGGTCAAAGGAGCCGTTCCTGCCTCTGGGGCCTGGTGACCTGGACTCTCCCCCATTCAGGTCTTGGTGTCACAAATTCTACTGGCACATGCTGCGGGCCTGCAGGCACTGGGGACCCAGCAGCCAAGAGCAAAGTGCACCGCTATGGGCTCGTGCTCACGAGGGACAGGAGACAACTACGCAGACAGGCCATCGGGGGGGCGCACACCAGAGGGACACCAGTACAGAGGAGCAGCAGCACAAAGGCCCTGAGGCAAGCGCAGCCAGGACATGCAAGAGGCAGGGGTAAGTCTGGAGGGCGAGGGGGAGGGCAGGTCAAATGTCCCTCTCCTAGGAGGATCTCCAGGACCCCAGACCTGCCCCCAGAGGCCCATATATGCCCAGTCGGCTGGCCTTACCCCCGGCGCACCTAACATGAGCTCCCTGAGGGCAGGGCCTGGCCCACCTGGCTTGTAGGAAAGCAGCTGGCTCTGTGCTCCCAGTGCAGGGCAGAGGGAAGGCCCCTCTGTCCTCTGGTCACCGCTCTCTCTTCCTGGCTGCAGGGGTGGCCCCCCACCACTCACCCAGCTGCTCACACCAGCCGCCTCCGCTTCCGGATGTGCCGGGCATGCCGGGTTCTGAGCACATCAAGGTCGTCGGAAGTATCCAGGTAGGAGGGGGAAGAGCCTTTGCTGGAATCTGGGGCTCCCTGGAACAAAATCCAGGCGGGGGAGACAAGTAACTCCCCAGCCACGATGAGTGGGGATGAGGGTGGAGAGTAAGGAGAGGGGCCCCCGAGGACACAGCATCCCCCGAGCCCTAACACCCGGTCCTGCCTAGGATGGGCAAGCTCCAGATGAGCTGAGTCCTCGCAGCAGGGGCCATGACAGGTCCTCCTGGGGCCACAGGTGGTGGCTGTTTCTCTGCTGCCTCTCCCTTCCTTGGGGGCTCCAGCCCCCTCTAAGCAATCCCCCTACAGTCAGTCTCCTGCCCCGATGGGAGAAGGAACAGAGGCGCGGCGACTGAGGAGTGGGACCGGAGCCAGGGAGGCCGCGCAGATGTGGGCACAGGAGTCTCCCCTCACTGTCCAGGCTCTGGCGGTCCACTGTCTGGGGCAGTGTCCTCCACCTCACTTCAGCCCAGGATGCCCTGGGACTCCCCACTGAGCATCCCTCCCGCCGCTCCTCACATGTCTTGACACGACAGGCCGCCCCAGTGGGGGAGGATCTGCTCCTGGGGCTTCTCAGGGAGAGCCACCCACCGCAGCCCCGAGGCTGCCACAAGGGCACTGCTACCCCTCCAACGGGCCTCATGGCCTCACTGGCTTGGCACAAATTCCCTGGGGGGGCTCCTGGCAACGGGGGAGGCGGCGGCCTTGCTGGGCTCCCTGGTCACAGCCACAGAGGATGTGGGAACATGGTTCAACACACTTCTAACCCCAGGGTTCTCATCAGGAGACAAACAAAATGGCTTTCCTATGGAGCTGAGAAAATTCTAATGTGCAGAGGTGACACTTGGGAGAGACCTCTGTGCTCCAGCAGTGTGGCGATGAATGCAGGTGCCCACCCCAGGAGTATGTGCGTGGGGGGAGTGCAACACGGAGCCCAGGTCAGCTTCTGCTCCCTGAGCTTTTCCCTCAGACAAGGCCGCGGGCAGCAGCGGCAGGAGGCGCCAGGGCTTGTGCACGAGCAGCCAGTGAGGACCCTCTTCTGATACTTTGCACACTACCCAAAAGGCACCTTCTGTACAGTCTATATGCGACTAGGCAGGCTTGGAGCCAACCTCTTCCTGTGAGAAACCCAGCAGCCGGCTCTCCTGCCCGGGCAGGCTGGCATAGCAGGGAAAGGAGGACTGGGGCTCGGTGACCCCTTACCTGGACAGGGATCGTGGCTGCTGGCTCTGCCTGGGCCCTGTCTGCTGTGCAGCCCAGCTGCTTGTCCCCATCAGGGAGCTCCAGCTCGTCCACGAGGTCCTCATCCTCACTCTCGGGGCCCACCACTGTCGCTGCTGACAGGGTGGTGGGGACACCATGGGGGGACAGGGTGGCCAGGAGTGCGGGGAGAGTGAAGACTGCCAGGAATCGTGTTTTCAGCAGGAGGTAGGCCGGGTTGTCCTGGAGCTGTCTCCGCACCATCCCCAGCGAGGCCTGCAGAGCTCTGGCCTGGGGCTCAGCCTTGCCCCCAGCCAAGTGGCCGGCTGCCAGGGAGGTAGCCTTGAGCTCCAAGACCTTCTTGTGGAGCAGGAGGCTGGACAGCACTTGCAGGCTGCACAGGGCAGGGGGCTGGTAGGGCAGCCTGCTCCCCAGGGGAGGCACACACACCCCCTGCTGGCCTCTTAGCCACTCTCGAGTGGCTGCCTCACTCTCCTGGGAGAGCAGGCCCAGGTCCAGTGCTCCCTTCTCAGAGCGGGGCAGGGGCTGCCTCTCCAGGCCCAGAAGCCCTGGGGGCTCCTGTGTCCCTGAGGGTGACGCCAGTGTCCCTCCTGGACCACTCCCTGGGCCAGTGCCTGGGCTGGACCAGGTCGGCTCTGCTGCAGGGTGGTTGGCCTGGGAGGCTGGTCTGGGCACAGACGTCTCCCTGGCTGCCTGGGCCACGTCACCATCCACTTCTACAGGACTTTGGGAGGTGGGTGTTGCAGGAGGAGTCGAGGGGTCTGTCCTGGAGGAAAGGTCTGGTTCCATGTCCCTGGGGCTCTGGGCCACCCGAGTCTCAGTCCGGGCAGGCAGCAGGGTCACTGGCAGCCCTGTGGGGTCAGAAGTCCCTGCTGGCCTGGGAAGGCCCACCACGGCTGGCACAGGCACAGGTAGCAGCCCCTGGGCTGTGAGCACCCAAGTGACAGGAAGGGGGATGTTGGCCACCATGTGTGATCCAGCCCTGTGTATGCCCACAGCTGGCGTCAGGCTGAGGGGTTGGATGGGCAGCTGAGTGGGGCTGGGGGCTGCAGGGAGGAAGGCTGGAACCTTGGGCAGGCCCTGCTTCTGGGATGTGGTAGGGGCCTGAGACTGTCCCAGCTGACAACAGCTCACAGGGACATGACCGGGGCCCAGGGCAGGGGTTTTGGATGCAGCAGACGCTGTGCCCTCGGCCCCTGTGGAGGTAGAAGAGGGGAGCAGGGCTTGCAGGGTGGCGGGTCTCTTGTCCTTGGCTGAAGTCCCAACGTTCTGCCAGGAGCCAGGAGCACAGGGACTGGCCACTGTGGGGGCCTCAGGCCCAGAGAGTGCTGGATTTGAGAGAGCAGGAGCTGGGGAGCCATGGGGGGCTGGTGGTAGAGGCGGCTGGAGGATCACAGGCGAGGAGATCAACAGTTGTGGTGGGAGAACTGTGGGGCCCTGGGCAGCCTTCCTGGCACGGGCCTCCCGAAGCCGCTTTTCACGCAGCAGCTCTGACACAGTCTTAGGCTTGGGCCGGGGGCCGCATGGAGCTGGCAGGGGCACCTGGGACGGGATGGACTTGGCCTGGCAAGACTCCAGCCCTCTGCTCCCTTTGTGGCTGGCACTCTTTGCAGCACCTCGAGCTGGCACATTTGGGAGGAGGCGGCCTGCAGGGAGGACAGACACCCACACTGGACTACAAGCTCCAGGTCCAGGGACAGCCCCTCACCCGCCCTCATCAGGAGGGCTCACGCAGCAGGTAGCTGTTGGAAGCATGGACACAGGAGCCTGGGTCCAGAGCCAAGAGGGGCTCCAGCTGCATGCCCCAGGTCTCCCTACTCACATCACCCCAAACCCCAACACTCAGTCACTGCCAGGGAAGGGTACACCCTGGGCAGCCCAGCCTGTTTCTTACCAATCCAATACCAGCCCCTAAACCCTGAACACCTTCAAAACCAGGACTGTTGGGCACTACCACACTCCCCTCCTTGCCTGAGAAAACATTGTCCCCTCGGGACCCCAGCTGGCCTGGAGAGTGAGGAGACCTGTAGCTGCCAGCAAAAGCATCCCTGGCTAGAGGTGGTCTGTGCTGGGGAAGCCTGGAGGCCAGCCAGTGAGAACCCAAGGAACCCCACGCTGGCCTGACCAGGCTCGTGCCCCCACGATGCTAGGAGGTTTCAGCTCAAAGCCACGGCAGGTTTAGTCCGTTCCACACCAAAATAAAGAGAGCAGCATAGGGGCTGTACCTGGGGTGCTCTGGGTACTCGAGGGCCCCTGAAAAAGAAGGGAGAGGAGTCGGCACTTCAAGGTGTCCTCATGGGCCTAGAGCCTTTTTTGCCACACTCAGACCATCCCTCGCCACTCCCCTGCAGTGGGGACAAGGCCCCTGGTGCTAGAGCTGGCTCCCCCATGCTTCTGCATGGAACTCAGGGGCTTTGGCATGGCAGAGAGCATGGTGCTGCTGGCAGACACTGGGCCTCATGCCTCCTCCTGATGCAGCTCTACCCCAAAGGCACCTTGAGAGCTCATCGGGGAGTCAAGGCAGTGTGGGGTTTGCAGGCAGATGCTGGGGGCAGAGTCCTGTGGCCAGGGTCACCAGAGCTGATGTATGGCCCTCAGACTGGCAAGACCATTTTGTTGCCCATCCCCCTGGCAACGGAGTTCCAGGGTGAGGCTCCCACTGCCTGAGCTCACTGGGTCTGGAGCAGGACAAGAACCAGGTGCCTGCCCCAGAAGGATGGTACCTGCAGCAGACAGCACCCCAGCTCCCCGCTTCTGCCTGGGGTGGGTTGGCAGCGTCACGGGGGAGACACAGGCTCTGCAGCCAGGCACGCCTCAGTGTCATCCGGACCTACACCTGCCTCAGACTCGCTGCAAAGCCCTTCAGGGCTCTGGGTCCCTGCACAGACAGAGCGCAGCAGGGCTCTGGGCCCCTGCACAGACAGAGCTCAGGGCAGGCAGGGGATGCTCTGGGGGACCGCCCCACTCCGCTGCAAGAGCCTGGCATAGCCACACTCCCTGGCTGGACACTAGCCTCTGCTTCTCACCCTAAGCACCGTACCTGCTGAAGATGTGGTGGCAGGTCCCCAGCACTACTCTGGAGCGGTACAGACAGCTGGGCCTTCCTCTCTCCAACGACCTCCATGCAGCCAGCAGTATCGATCTGGAACAGCTGAGGAACACGCATGATAGAAACAGCTCCCGCCCAGGCCCTCACAGTCCCCCACAGGGCCCAGATGCCTAGGGCATCCTCAGTGGGGGGAGGCAAGCCCTGACTGCAGCTGCTCTCAGGAGCAGATCCAAAGCCCCAGAAGCTCTGGCCAGAGCCTGGGCATCCCTGCGAGGCTGTGATGGCCTCCCTCACGCCTCAGAGTGGGCTTGGGTCCTTGGGCCTCACTCCTGCCTCTCCCCCACGCCCTCATCGTCCACGGACACAGGGGTCCCCAACGCTCCCCATCTTCCCAGGACACTGTTTAACCCAATGGTGGCAGCGAACGTAAACAGCCAGGTGCCCCTTCCACATTAATTTGCTGAAAGTTGTAGATCACAGAAAGTACGTTTTCAAGGACTGAAAACTTTAGATAATTAAACTGTAAGGAGTACGTCTACTACAAACTTCAAAACTTCACCAAAAAACCCACAAAGTAAAACAAAACCAAGCTCTGCTCTGGTCATTCGAGGTGGCTTACCTGAATAAACAGCGTGAACACCGGGGTGCTGGCCAGGCGGGCGTGCTGCAGCTGCTTCCTGACGCCATCGGCTGGGGACAAGGGCCCATGCAGAAAGAGGCTCCAGCTAGGAAGCCGCTTTCCTGGGGTCCCCAAGAGCCCTCAGGACTGGGTGCTGGCAGGGACGGGAGGAGAGGCCTTGGCACTGGCCCCACACAACCACTGATGACCAAAGGGTGGGTCTCCCTGAAACTTTTCACCACCCAAAGAACAACAAATTCAGCCGCCCCCTCCCAGTCTAGGAAGAAGGGTGAGGTCAGAGAGGGAAGGCTGGCCCCCAACTGGCTGTCATTAAACCTTGGGGACAGGTGCTTCTAGCCCTCGCCGGGGAACCTGACCAGAGGTGTGGTCCGCCCTGCACAGGCTCCCCTGCTGAGGCCACTTCCCTAACTGACCACCATGTGCTAAGCAGGATGCACTCATCCCCGCTCCCACCCTCCAGGAGGCTCCCAAAGGAGCCCCGGTAGTACCTCGAGTCTGCACTGTAGTAGGTCTCCGGGGAGCCTGCATGCAGGGCAGGGGGATGTCACCCACCCAGGGAGTCACAGCCAGCAGAAGCCTGCGCTCAAGGAGCCTTTGGTGCAGAGCATGTCTCCGACGCCGCTGCCCATTCTGGAAGGTTCCGTGCCACAGCCGTTGCCTGGGGTGCCCAGTCACTCTGTCACCAGGGGTGATCTCCAGGGGTGGGTTAGGCAGGGAGGACTGCCTCAACCTCTCCTTCTGCAGGGAGGAGAAAGGCAGCTGGGCCTGCTGGCAAAGCCCGGCTACCTGGAGTGAACCCTGCCTGGCTGGCCAGCTGTCCTCCACTTCCTTCAGTGTCTGGTCGGAAGGGAGGTCAGACCAGAGCAGGGAGTGGGGTGGTAGCCGTGTGTGCATGTGTGCATGTGTGCTCAGGCGGGGGGAGCCCAGGGCGGGCCTCACCAGTGCATGGCTCCGACTGGCTGTGTTGGTCCTGAGCACCCTCAGCACGGTCTCCAGGGGCACCTTCAGCAGACGCTTCCCATCCTGACGAAGAGCATATGATGCTGGTTGTGTGGGAAGCCCCGGCACAAGAGCTGACATCTGTACTGCTCTGGACACCTCCCTGCCCAGACCCCCAAGCACATACTATGCAGACCCCTTGCTACTTGGGAAAGGTTCACCGTGGGATCCTCAGGCAGATCCTCCCCCAGAGGAGGAAGACAGGTGGGTCTCCAGGGCCTGGATCCCACTAGACTGACGGGGTCTTCCCGTCTCCCAGCCAGTTCCTCAGGCTGACAGCAGCATCCTCTCTAGTCCAGGCTTCCAGCCTTGGGGAGAAACTAGCCTGAGTGGCATCAGCACCAAGGGACATGTACTCTGCCCAGCTGCCTCAGGGGCCACCATCCCCTCCCACAACTCCCAGCATAGACGAGCCTGTTCAACCCAAGCTGCTACTCCGGACATGACTAGAGCTGGGCCCCGCCCCCTCCCCCCAGCTTGGTGACAAAACGTTTCATAAATGCCTCCAAGTCTAAGTGCCCACTTAGCAGAGCCCCTGAAGCAATTCTCCTACGTGGCTCTGAAAGCAAACCAGTTGGGAAAATGGAAATTGCCAGCCTCAGTGAAGAAGGCTGGGCCCTGGGCACACCTCTCCTGAAACAGACAGAAGCAGAACATTCATGAACGAGCGCTGTCTGCTCTACACCCAGGGACCAAGCTGCTACGCTATCCCCAAGCGCCAGCTGTGGGGACCCCCGAGAGCACAGGCACCCCTTTCCCTGGCACCTGCATCTGGGGGCCTGGGGCTCACCTCGCAGGCTGGCTCCTCCCCGCTCACTGGGTGAGTGTCTGCCACACGTGGGTACTGGACACCTCTCAGGAGGGTGCTGTGAGTCCCACACCGGGTCTGTGCCTGGCTGGTCTCCTCTCCAGGAGCCAAGGTGGTGGCAGAAGTTGCCCTGTTGTCACCGTGGGCAATACTGGACCACTTAGAAGGGCCGGAGGAGGCAGCAGGGTATCCTGGCCAGCCCCCTGCCCCTCCTCTCCATGGCTGGCTGGTGCTCTGTCTGGCAGGAACCCACAGGTCCATGTCTGGGACCACATACTGCGGGGATGGCAGCACTTGGTCAGCCTCCCGGGCCTCCTCCTGTTCTGTCTCTGAGTCCTCATTGCTGCTACTGCTGCTGCTGCCACCGCTGCTGCCACTGCTGCCGCCGCTGCTGCTGTCCCCGCTACTGCCACTGCTGGAGCTCCACCGGACACTGCAACGGGGCCTCCGCCGCCGCCTCTGGAGACTCTGCTTCTTCTGAGGGGAGGAAAGGGCCACTTGCAGGCCTCGGCCACCCAGGTTCACCAACAAAGGCCAACAGGAAGATGGGCCAGCTCTGGGGCCCCAGGCAGGAATGCTGTAGGGAGGATGGCAGCCGCACGCCCTCCTTCCCTCATCCTCCCCAATGGGTCGCACAGGTGACGAGACCTTTTGTGTGACTTCTGGTAAAGCTCTGGAAACAAATGCCTCACCCCAGTCATGATCTTCCACTTGCTCAGACACTGGGAGCCTGACCGATGGGGTAGTTCAGAAGCGATTTTTGCCCAGTGACCTACAGAAGCAAAGACCACAGGGAAAGCACGTCACACATAGTCCCTGACAACAAAGCTTGCCAGATGGGGCAGAAGGTTCTTCCGCAGGATGTGCTTGCTGCTCTCCTGAAGACCTGTTGGGCCCCACCACATGGAGCTTCCTGCAGACCCTCACACTGCTCGGCGAGAAGCCGGGTGCCAGGTGCGTTGGTATGCTGCCAATTTTGCAGCACCTGATTCTCAGTGGATAATCAGCCTCTTAGGAAAGCTCTGGCAAACGTATGACCAAGAAGGGAAAATCATCCATATGTACATAAACATGGCCCCAGCACGTGTGCTGTACCCGGGCTTCTAAACCAGACCTTTCCAGTGATTCATGTTCTTGTTCAGATGGTGCCAGCAGGAGGAAAGCCGGTGCTTCACTTTTATAGGGCAGGCTGACAACATGTGGCAGAAGCCATAGTATTCTGCGTGTCTTTGAACCTGGCAATCCCACAGCTAGGATTTATTCTAAGGAAATATTACAAATATAAGCAAAGATTTACCTACAAAACACTCAGTTCATTCCAGCCCTATAGCAAAAAATGGGAAATAATTTAAACGACCACCAACAGAAGGCTGACTGGATAATCTATGTGCTGCTCCTCAGGGGAACACAATGCGGCCACCAAAAACAGTGACGACATAGGGTGGAGAGAAAGAAAAAAACTGGCAACAGAGAGAAAACGATGGCGGCAGAACCCAAAATGTGTGAAGACACAGAAGAATATTCGTGACAGACAGCACAACTAATGACACAGATCACACAATGTTTCAATTTTTTAAAAGCTGCTTTTTCCTAGGAAAGCAGCCTGCAGAGAAAAGAGTGAGCAGGTGTACACCAGCTAACAGTGGTTATCTCTGGGTGATGAGATTCATTACATACTTTTCTTCTTTTTGCATACCAAATTTTTACATAATGAATATGCATTAGTTTGCAATATGGGAAAACCCTGCCATCTGTCAAGACAGTGAAAAGTGAGACAGGAGAGAGCTGGTCACAGGAGGCAGCCTGGTATTGAAGCAAGCCAGGAAGCTCCCATGTGTCTGCAAACCTTCGCTGTGAGCTCAAGGCCAGCAGGAACAGCATGCAAACACATCAGCAGCAACTCACCAACACCGTGCTTTTCTATCAGTTCAATTAACTGCTCCTCTTCCTGTGAATTCCATCGTCCCTTTTTCAAACTGAAATGCAATCTTCTGAGATATCTGAAAGTGACATGAAAACAAAGGGACATTTTAGATGCTAAGATACCTCCTGCTGCTGTCCTGGGTTCTGCAATGGTTTCTTAGACATGACGCCAAAAGCACAAGCAACAAAGGAAAAATATAGATAAACTCGACTTCATCAAAATTTAAAACTTTTGTGTTTAGAAGGACGCCATCAAGAAAGTAAAAGAGTATTTGTATAATCTTGATTGGGAGAATATTTTTAAGTCACATATCTGACACGGAACTTGTATCTGGAATATATAAAAAAAACCTTACAAGTCAATAATACAAAGACAAGTAATTTAAAAAATGGGCAAAAGATCCAAACAGACATTAATCCAAAGAGATATATGTACAAAAGGCCAATGAGCACATGAAAAGATGCTCAGCGTCAGCAGCTGTCGGGGAAACGCACATCAAGACCGCAAGGAGAGACCACTTCACGCCCACCAGGACGGCTGCAGCCACAAGGACAGACAGTAACAAGTGTTGGCGAGGATGTGGAAAGCTGAAACTCACACACTTCTGGTGGAAATATAAAATGGCTCAACCATTCTGGAAAACAGTTTGGCAGTTCCTCAACGGTTAAACACAGTATTTGCATGGGTATGTTTTTTGTTTATTTGTTTCTGGCAGCTGGCCGGTAAGGGGATCCAAACCCTATGGATACCACTTGTCCCAGCAATTCCACTCCTAGGGATACACCTGGCAGAAGTGAAAATATACGTCTGCATAAAAACGTGTACATGATGGGCTGGACGGTTAGCTCAGCTGCTTACAGCACAGTCTTGTCACACCAAGGTCAAGGGGGCGGATCCCTGTACCAGGCAGCCACCAAAAAACAAAAACAAAAACAAAACTTGTACATGAATGCTCATAATATTTTCAAGGTAACTTGTACATGAATGCTCATAACGTTTTCAAGGTTCATCCACGTTGTATCAGACTTTATGGAAACATAGTATGTACTAGAAATTCACTTCTTTTTAAGGCTAAATACCATTCCACTGTCTGCGTACACCACATTTTGTTTACCCATTCACCTGCCAATGGACACTTGGGCTGTTACCATCTTCTGGCCGTTGTGAGTAATACTGCTATGAACATGTAAAGACATCTGCGTCCCCTGCTCTCAGTTCTTTTGGGTTTTATGCCTGTCAGTTATCTGGGGTATAATTCTGTGTTGAGCTTTCCACCACAGTGCTCTCCGCTGCGGTGGCACCATCTACGTTCCCCAAGAGCACATCAGGCTTCCAACTTCTCCACATCCACACCAGCGCATGTCCTTCTCCTTATGTTTTATTTTTAAATAACAGCCACCCCAATGAGTGTGAGGTGGTGTCTCCCTGTGGTCTGGTTTGCATTTTCCTCTGACTAATGACGTCAAGCGTCTCTGCACGTGCGCACTGGCCATGCACATGTCTTCTTCAGAGAGAGATCTTTACAAGTGCTTTGCACACTTCTGGATTAAGCTGGTTTTTGCTGTTGAGTGGGGTTCCTTTTTGGGGTGATCAAAATGTTTTAAAATTGATCAGGTGACAGCTGCAAAGCTAATAAAGACACTAAAAACCACTGAACTGCACGCTACAAATGAACAAATTGCACGGTATGCAAGCTACACCTCAATAAAGAAAGAGTGGCTCCTGCCTGCCCAGGGCTTTTCCCATCAGGGATTTGGGGAAAGGATTTTGACAAGGGTCAGGAAAACTGGCGTACAGGGAGCCACCTCAAATGCAGCCTGCACCTTGCTTTTGGCCGACAAGTAACACCAATGTAAATCTGAGTTGGAAAAAGATAGCTTATTCTGCTGCCCAGGTGGGTCAAGCCTGGTACATGAAGCCCCCAAGGACCACACCCCCCTGCTGTGACAGTGAATCCCTCCTGGGCCACTGTCACCTAGCCTGCCTCACGGCCTATGCAACAGCAAACCTCGTAAGTGCCCCAAGCAAGCCCCTCCCTTGTCCAGCACTGTGCAACTCACCGATCTCGGCACTGGGCATCGCTCCTACCTGGCACCTCTTCCCGGATTTTAAACCAATCCTGCTCCCCATACTTGGCAACGGCTTGAAGCAACTTCTGCAGGAAGGGACAAGCAGGCAAATGTGCCTCTATACGTTCAGCCACAGCCTCCCCACCCTGAACGCAGTCAGTTGAAGAAGGGAACATCAGGCACAGCAACACACAAGACAGCCAGGTGAACTTCCCAGGGCACAGTTCTCCTCGGGTCCACAACTTACGGCATCTTCCTCTGGGGCCCAGAACCCCCTTTTCAGGCTGGGATCCAAGCTCTTGGTCCACCGATAGATCAGCTGCATGGAGTCTCTCCCCTCCATGTAGTAGACAACTAGGGAGAGAGAGGGGCCTTGTGGGTGCTGAGGCACAGGCTCTCCACATAGTAGATAGCCAAGGACAGAGGGCCTTAGGGGCTCATCTCCTAGACGGGTCACACAGAAGGGAGTCACTCTAATTGCCAAGAATTGACTGTGGCACGCCTGGGACCCTTACTCTCCCTCCCACCTCTCATAACTGTGACAGCGAGCTGCCTCCGCAAGTCTGTGTTTCCCACATGCAGGGCCTCAGGCCTCAGGCCTCAGAGCCCTGTGACAGCCTGGGAACCGTGCAGGGCGCGTGCGGGCGCAGACTCACTTCTGCGGTAGGGGATGTGGCTCCCGACCCGCATTTCCTGGACCAGCTGGGTGAGCATGCGGTCCTCCTCCTCCGTCCACTCCTTGCGCTTCAGGGCTTTGTTGTGCTGCTGGAACTTCTGCAGGCACTGGAAGGCGCTGCGGCTGGTCTTCTCGGGCCCAGACAAAAGCAAAGGGTGTTACTGGGCTTCGCCCTGTGCGCGGGGCTGTGCAGACCCGGCTTTGAGCGAGCTCCAGGGGCAGGTGGGCCCAAGAGCCACACAGAACACACCTCCCTAGACCAACGCTCTCCTCCTGCCCGCCTCCTGTGGGGTCATGGACAGCACTCTGTGGTGGGAAGACACGACCTGCTACAGAGGACCAGGAAAGGCCAGCTGAGAAAGGGCTACACATTATACCTAAAAACACTGTATTAAACATTGGCAACGGCCGTTAACTTATCTGACACCAAAACCGCACTGCAAACTCAAATACTCGATGGAAGGGAACTTCCACCGCGGGGCAGGAGCTGCTCACACCTTCTAACTCTCGAGCTCTGGGGTGGTCTCTCTGAAGTCTTCATTGGGTGCAGTGAGGAGGTCGGGGGCATGTGCTGGGACAGTCCTTGGTGTGGTGTCCATGTCTCAGGAGACGCCCTCATGAAGGGCAACTCCAGGTGATGCTCCCCCAGCATCCACACATGCTTCTGTTCAGCACATAATCCCTCGGTCTGCACAGTACCTGTTTCTGCCCAAATCTGTCCCCTCGCTCACCTCCTTATGGGAAAGGCACTTCCCAAGAGCTGATTAATGTGGTTTGAACTCTTTTCTCCTAAAGCAAGCTCTTGACTTACAGAGAACATGTGCAGCTGCTTAGTTAGCAACGAGGTTTGCTTCTGAGGTTTTCTTCCCAACCAAATTCTTCCTAAGTGTGTTACAACACAGGTCACCCTGAGACTTGCTCACCACAAAATCACCACTGCCTTGGGCTGTTAGCTGCCGGGTGATCCTTCTCAGCCCAAGATGTACTACGTACCCAGATCCTAAACCCATGCAGGGTGTTTTCTGTGTGTGTCGACACACTCAGCTCAGGATTCAGAAGACCCTGCTCTCCCACCTGCACCCACAGTGGGCGGCTTCCTGACTAGTGAAGATAAAAGACCCCTCCTCACATCTCACACCCTTCTGAACCTGCCAGGCATCCAACTGGTCAGCAGCAAAGACAGCATTACGCCTTAATAAAAGCAGCATCAGGCCACCCCAGGCTTCTGAGGGAGCATCAGGAGAGGGGAAGCACTGGGCTGGGGCAGGGCTTCCAGAGCCCCGGGCCCTTCGTGGGGCATCAGGAGCAGCAGTGCTCGGTGAGGTTGGAGCGAGCACCACCAGGCCCAAAAGTGACTCTCGGGAAGGAAGAAGAGCCTTGCGGGGGGCAAACGGCTGGTGTCCTGCCTTCATTTTGTCTGTGTGTTTGTTTTGGTGGCTGGCCGGTACCAAAACAAATATTAATAGAGAAGCATGTCTACACGTTCCAAGAGAAGAAAAAAGCCAGTAACAAAATGGAAAGCACAGCAAAATTTCCAAAATTAATCAGGAAAACAACAACTTATAGCTTCCTCAAACCAGTGAAACAGAGTCAGAGGTGGGCGAGGAGGCACAGCGTGCCCTGCCGGACTCAAGGCGGCAGCCGGGAGCCCACGGTACAGCCGAGCACGGGGAGACCACGCTCTCCCGGCGGATCACAGACTGGCTGAGTGGGTGGGAAAACAAAATCCAGTTGCATGCTGCTTTCAGGAAAACACCTGAAGAGGGCGATTTTTAAAAAGGCTGAAAATAAAGGGATGGTAAAAACAGAAAACGAAAAACAGCAGGAAAACGCAAGTAAAAACAGGTGTGGTGACACTTGCAGGTGAGACAGGACTCGGGGTAAAAGACTGAGGCACATAGAGAGGTGAGCGGCCTGTCTTAAGAACATAATTTAGCAAGTGACCACAATCACGAAGCTACGTGTACCAAAGTCATGTGTACACAGCACTTTAATACATGAAGGAGGAACTGATTTTTAATATTGTTATATTAGGTTATAATCCTTCCAGAACTGAAATTGTAGATAGCAAAATTCAGTAACACAATCAACAAACTCAATTTAATAAGCTTATGTAGAATCTTAGACCCTTAGAACCTGAAAAAACTAAATTTTGGAAAATTTAGTTTGGTTTACCATAAAAAAAAGGTGATAGATTTAAAAAATGGAGATTTTACAAATCGGTTTCCCAGGTCATGTTTCAATAAAATTTGAACTAAAGAATAACCACACAGGGACTCCAAGAAACCTAACTATTTAAAAATGAAAAAACACATTTCCAGATAAACAGGTTCAAAGAGGCAATGAAAACTGAAATTACAGATAGGAACGTTTCACACCAAGCTGTTCTCAGAGGTGTGCAGCCTTAAACGCTTTCATTATTAAAGACATAAAGCTCAGATAAAGAACTTAGTCCTCACCTCAGGAATTCAGAAAAACAACAAAAGAACTTAAAAGCAGCTAGGAAAAGGTTTCTTTTGAAACACCAATAAATAAACTCCTAAGGTTGATGTAGAGAGAGAACAACTGAGAATAAGAAAGGAAATAGGTTCAGATGAAACTCAAACATTGACCATTGTGCACAGAGGTCTGGAGGACCTGTGGGAAGGCCAGGGAGACCTGAGAAGTGACACCTGAGCTGCGGCAGGCCTGGGGCCCTGCCAGAGAGGTGTGCAGAGGCTGCCCTCCCCAGGGCTGCACCTGGAAAGGGGCAGGACACAGAAACGCAATGGCTCTAAGAAACAAGCCAGGCTGTCCCGTGCCCTCCTGGCCCTACCTCCCAGCTGCGGGACCCACATGCCCTTGGAGGTCTTCCAGGCCCCCAGGTCTGGTCCCGGTCCTTACCCCCAGCTCCTCTGCGACCTTCTGCCACTCCAGGAGGCCGTGCGCGGCCGCAATGGCCCTCAGCCGTTCCACCTCCTCCTTGTTCCATTCCTGCTTGTTGATGCTCGGGTGCTCAGAGTTCTGCCAAAACTTCCGGATCTCCTCTGCGCTGCGTCCTCCTTCAAACTGCACAAACAGAGGAACCCAGCCCTGCAGCGCCACTAACCCTGGGCACACCCAGATGCAGCTCTGGGCTGAGCGATCTTCTTCTGCCAGCCAGTGGCTTCCACAGCTAGAGGTAAGCAGTATCTGTTCAGCTCACCAGACCTTGTGCAGCCACAACTGCAGACACGGCTCCAAATGCAAGGCAGAGAGCCTTCGAGACCGTCCACCTCAGAAGAGGAACCTCCCATCAGCAGACAGGGTCTGTTAAGCACCTCGCCGCCACTGACTGCCAGACATGTGCTTGACCGGAGGGGTCAAGGCGGCCAAAGAGCCAGGGACGGTGTGGCCTTACCACCCAATTCCAACCCACACCCCAGCTACAAGGAACAGGGTTGCAGGCTGTTTGAGGTTCAGCCCTGCCCTTGACTTACATTAACTTTGGAAATCTTCTCCCAGTCGTGGCTGTCCAGCCTATTCCCCAGCAAGGACTCTTCTGGGAGCTGGCTGGAGGAAAGGACAAGGGCACTGGGGTCACGCCCAGCCTGTGGGCTCCCCTGGACCCACCCGGAGGCCCGTCTCACCTGATGTCCTGGATTTCCTTCTCCGTCTCCTGGGCCTGCTTCTCCAGGGCCTGCCTCTCTGGCTCACCGGAGGCCCTGCTCTGCTTCTGCCGCAAGTACTCAAGCCTGCAAGGCAGAGCTGAGTGGGAGGGCTGTAGACGGCCACACCACACTCTGCGGGGGCTGAGGCCCTGCTTCTCTGGGGCTGCCCCCAGGCAGTGCCAAGCACCCTAAACAGCACAGTGGTGGAGAGCTGGGACTGGGAGCTTAGTTCCCATCCAAGTCCGCCTGATCTCTCCCTGCCTTGGCCTCCTCACCCATAGAAGAAACTGCAGGTTGTCATGAGGACTGGAGCAGTGGTGTCTAGCACAAGCGCTGCCCTGCACTTGCTGATGCAGATGGTAGTTACCCGCTGGCTCCCCAACATCTCAGAGCCTGGCCCACCCCCTGAACCTCTGCATCCCAGCTCCCAGCCGTGCACCTAGCACATGAAGACACAGACGTCTGCAGATGTCCTAACTTGTGCCCAGCAACGAGGACAGAAGCTGTATCTTAAGCCTGTGGTTGCTGCTACAGTAAATAACTGCTTCCCAGAACGGGCCAGGAAGGGAAAACCCAGCTCTCCTGCAGCCTGAGGACACTACTGTCACTACTGCGAATCCTGACCATGTACCTCAAGCCATGAGGTGCAGGTGAGTTCCTGGGACCCCTGGGCCTGGCCACAGGCATCTCACCATCTGCCCCTGGTTGCTTCTGTCCTAAAGGTACCAGCTCTGCCTCTAGACCACACAGGAGGTGGGGGGACCTGGCTGTGACATCGAGGGAGTAGCCAATGCAGACCACACCCTGCGGTTCTTCCTTGGGTACTGCCACGTCTCCTGAGGCCAGGCTCATGGAGGCGTTTTGTCTCTTACCCTGATTATCTTCATGGGGTATTGATAGCGAATCAGTGCTGCGTGATGTGGTTCGATCATGTGATGCCACCCCATCAACAGACACATAAAGCAGGTTTCATGAACAGTCCCCGCTTTCGCAAGGGCAAACCGAGGCCCAGGGAAGAGAAACTGCCTGAGCCATACAACTAAACGTGGTGGCAGGGCACCTGGCCAGGGCTGCAGCGGAATTGAACCAGCCAGCCTCGACCTCTCCGATGACCGGGGAAGGCTGTGCTCTGGCCTGTGGTTCCGACTTACTTCAGTAACTTGGGCTGGAGCAAACGCTGCAGACGGTCACTCACCACTGACTTTCTGAGCAAGGCCTTTTCCCAGTTCTTCCCTGAGAAGAAAGAGCACTGGCACCATGGGAGGGTCTGGCGCTGCCCATGTGCCTATGACTGACCAGGTCCTCTGCAAACGCTAGACACCGCATCAGCGCCCGCCTCCAGAGGAACGAGGGAGGAACTGGCTGCACTGTCTGATGCCCCCGCTGGTGCCACTGAGCCATGACCCAGGCTCACAGACACTGGCCCCTCCATCTAGCAAACACAACCCTACCTATCACAAGCTCTGGCGGGGATTGCAGGGCTGGGCATTCTGAGATGAGGCACTGGGCACTGAGAGCAAGTGTGGGGTGGTGGCCCCAGCCTGCCTCTTGTGACCGGCATCCTCAGAAGGACTTTGTTCATTGTAGGAAAGGCAGGGGGTCAAGTGGCCAGTCTCAATATTCAGGGCCTGAAGGTGCCCATGAGGCCACAGAAAAGAGAGATCTGAGAGCGGTGGCACACCCTGGGTCAGGGCAGGACTGTGGGGAAGGCCTCCTAGGTCCCTCAGCTGGACAGGTGCCAAGGGCCTGACCTGGACTCTTACATTTGGTCACAAGAAGCTCCTCAAAAGCCTTGATTCCCTGGGCAGCCTTTTCACGTGTATCTTCATTGGCAGGAGGCCCCTGTCAGAGCACACAGCATCACGGCAGGGACAGACAGAGGGGTGCTCCCCTGAAGAACCCACGCTAGGCCTCCAGGGCTTCCCTCAGCCTCTCATGTGCCCGCCCATGAGCAAGGCCAGGCACTGGGCCGCCGGACCCAAAGCTACTGCTGCATGAATGGCTCTGGGGCATGACCCGCCCACACGGTGGAACCCACGAGTCTACGAGGGCTGACAAGGAGGACAGGGCTGCCATTAGCAACGTCAGGACCCACAGGATGAGGACTTGCTGTTCAGCTGTGATGCCGCCTCACAGGGAAACAGGCCCCAGAATGTCCTACCCGCACAGCAGAGGTCAGCTCACCCAACCCAGGAAAGGACGCCTTGATTTTCACCACGGATGAGGCAGAGAGTTTTAAGGAGGTTGAACAATGTTATCCTCAAGAACCCAAGGGAATTCACGACCACCTACTGCAGGCTACAGGGACAAGAGCCCCTTCCCATGGGGCACTAACTCTTGCTTACGAGAGCAAGGCCTCACCACTCACCACTCCAGTGACCCTGTCCTTGAAATATGGCTTCATGAAGTGCCCCACGTACATGTTCGGGGGCAGGCTCTTGCCATCCTTCACCTTGGGGCCTTTGGACCCAGACAGATCCCACATGATTTCCTCCTGTGACAGACACAAGAGGGCCATCTGTGGGCCAAGCAGCAGCGACGTTCCCCATGGAGAAGAGACCCAGGGCAGGAGAGGGGCAGGCAGCTCGGAGCCCTGGTCCTGGGAGCCCTGGCTGTGAGGGGCTCTTGGGGTTGGAGGTGTCAGCAGGATGTGGGGTCTGTTCTACCTGCTGCTCCCGGTTCTGAGCCAGCAGCAGGTTGACCTCTGCCAGCTTCTCTTGGATAACCTCCTGGTAGACCATGTTCAGCTGCAGGCAGGTCTCTGGGTCTTCGGGGAGGGCTCTGTCCTTAGGGTCATCCTCGTCATTGCTAGCTTCACCCCACCTATCTTCTTCCTGGTCAAAAGCCAGAAACTGCATGTAAGGAAATGGGACATACGGACGTGCCCCCACCCTCATGGCCCCACCTCAAGCCCATGTTCCAGTTGCTGGGCCTCTGGGACACTGAGGCAGCTACAGCATGGGACCACCCAGATGTGGAACGAAGAAATGACCCTGGTGGGTGGCAGAAGCATGTTCATATTCAGGAACAGAGCCTAGCACAGCACGTGCACATTTCCTCGTCTAAAACACAAGGAAATCTAACAGCTAGAAGTGTATTTGGGTTGGGCTGGTGTGAAGAAACAAATAGCTATCAATTGCTATAACAAAAGTTTCTGTAAAGCCTGAACCTCGTCGTGAGCTCGCATTACTTCCATCACCAGCAAGCCAAGATGGGCGAGATCCTGAGCATGTGCAAGTCCCTGCAGAGCCATCAAAGCCAAGAGCTGGAAACAGTCCAAATGCCCATGGGGAGGTGAAAAGTTCAAAACTACGTGCTCGGTAACCCACACAAAGGGGGCCACACGGCCGTTACGAGCTAGGCAATTCCATACCTACTGACTTGCTGGGAAAAGTATCAAAGTTGTGAAAGTCTTCCAAGATAAAGTTCCAAAATAAATGAAAATGGTTCATAACAGCTGGCAAACCCAAGCAATGGCAAGTGCTGCTCTAGGTGCTCGTGTATGTTAACCGACTTGTGCTGTGACTGTCTCCACTGTCCAGACTGGGAAAGTGAGGCACAGAGAGGCAAGCTTGAGGGGCAGGACCCCGTAAAGGACTCGCTGCCTTCCACGCATGACATCATACAAAAAATAAACACACGTTAGTATGAGCTCAGAAAAAAGCCAGGAGGAATAATCAGCACGCTGTTAACAGTGGTTACTTATGGAGACAATCTTAATTTCAATGATACATAGTTATGATGTTTCATTTTTTATAACAAACGTGCACTGCAAGGGTACTTCAAAAAATTCATGAGACTTGTATTAGCCCTCAATTCTATTTTTCCATGAACTTGCTGAAGTACCCTCCTACTTTTATAATGCAGAAAAACCAAGAGGAGTTCAGACCACACCCCTTCCCAGGCCACTGTGGAAGCGACAGGTCTCACCCAGCAGCACAGCCAGGTCAGCCCAGAACTTACCGAGACCGGAGGACCAGAGATGTCCAAGTCCTCACTGGGCAGTGAATCTGTCAGAAACACAAGCACTGCGTATTGGTGACCAGTGACAGGAGCAGAGCAGGTGGGAGCAAGCCACATGGGCTGTGAGATAATGAGAGCACCTCAGGGTGAGAGCTGTGGCAAGTGCAGGGCAGGCACCGCACCAAGGCAGCGTCAGCCAGCCGGAGAAGACACCAGCCTAACAGCAAGCACCCCAGCACACGGGGGCAGACTGCACGGTCTTAACCAGACTATGACATGCTAAGTCCTACACCAGAGGGGCAATCAGGGAAGGTTTCACAGAGGAAATTGATCTGTCCTGTGGGAACTGCAGCATCAGAGGAGAAGGCACAAATGCAGAGACCCAGACAACAGGAGAAAGACAGAAGTTCACCTCAGAGCTGAGCCCTGGGCCCAGGGAGAGGTGGCACTGAGGTTGGGGGTGGCTGTGGGCAGGTGTCCAGTCAGGGCAGCACCAGAATTGGGGGAGCACATGCCTCAGGGGCCAAGGGGAGTGTGGAGGGGAGAGCATGGGCCTCCACAGCAGAGTCCCTCTAGTGGGCTGTTGATGAGCCCAGGGAAGAGATCCTGGGGGGCTGAGCTGTGGTAACTGTCACAGGCCAAGGCATGCTTACCCAGAGGGCCCCCAGAGCCTGAGGCAAGAGGACAAGACCCTTCCTCCCTGCCCCTTGCAGGCAGCAGAGGCAGAGTGCTTCCGCTCAGACAGCAGGTCCAGAGCTAATGAAGGAGGGACTGTCGCCAGCTCTAGCTGGAGCAAAGGCAGAGGCCAGTCTTGGCAAGAAACAGACCCTGGTCCAAGCAGCACCGTCACAGTGTAAGTGGCAGAAAGGAGCCCCAAGGGCAGGCGTGATTGTTCTTAGCCATGTTCGAAGGAGCCAGGCGGATGGGAGCTCACCTGCTTCAGAATCCGAATCAAGACTTGATCCCGAGACCTCCACATGGATACTTGAGGAGGTAGGATCCAAAATCCTTTCAAGTTCCTTGATTTCCTTTGTTATTTTCTCTCTTTCAGCATCTATATCCATGACTTCTGCCTGCCTCCAAAACATATTGCCAGATGTTAGAAACCAAGGGTGTGCTGGCATCCCACTCTCCTCCAGACATATGCACCTGCAGGGGATGGCAGCATCCCGTCCCACAGGAGGCACCAGGCTCACCGGAGGGAGGGTAAGGCCCTGCCCTGGGGGGTCCTGAGGCTGCAACCTGACACCCTTCTGCACCCCACGAACTGCTGCTCTCTGCTCTGCCATGTGCCAAAGCCCTGTGAATGTTTCCTGTCTGCTCTGAGGCTACGAACAGAACAGATGGAGAGTGAATGGACTCAACATGGCCCGACCACTGTGTCCCTGTGTTCCCATGCCCAAGCCACAAGGGAGCCATCACCCTGTGAGGAAAGTGCAGGGTGCAGTGGCAAAGTCACTAGAGGACGAGGACCAGGCCCATGGCCCCCATGAAGTCTACAGCTATGACCACAGCTTCGGCTGCATCCTGCTTCCCCACGGCACAGAGCTGGCACATGCACTGGAAAGTAAGCACCCCATGGGCAAGGCTTTCTGACTGCTCCCTGCTGTATCTCCAACACTTAGAATAGTACCTGGCACATGGTAGTGTCTGACACAAACAAACATTTGGTGAGGCAAAGAGGGCACTTTTTTCTTAGGGATACTGATCTGGGAAGTCTGCAAGGGAAAGGAAGCTAGGATGAGAGAAGGGTGAGAGAATAAAGCATTATCAAAAAATACTCCAAAGAAGCAAAAGCACAGGCCCAGGAACCAGAAACCACAAACAACAAAGAGAAGCATCCTCCCCTGCCCCTGGCATGGCCTCTCCGTGCTGGAGACTCTGACAGGAGCCAGGCCCAGAATTCCACCACTCTGGGTTCTGCTAGACTGAAACAAAAAAAGCATCCACCAATAAGCGCCTTTCAGTTGTATTAGCAGCCAAGTTCCCCTCATTCCTGCACATGGCACTTTGTTTATACTTGAATTGTTTGTAAACTCGTAAAACAAACTCAGCTAAAAGCCGGCCAGATCTGCAGAACTAGCAGCAACCACTGCTGCCATTTCCTCCAGGGAGGCCAGAAGGAGATGCTTTCTTCTGGAAGCCTAGCCTTGAAGGATAAGGCAACTTGTGTTTCGAAGACAGCTTCACTTCTTACCTCCCGTCTCCACCCCTGCCCCCATGTTGCTCAGGTGAGCAATGAACAGTACAAAGAAGGTCAAAGACACAAGTTCAAGTCCTGAGTCACTAGCCACATGCCTACTGTATTAGTCTGTTCCTGTTGCATATAATAGAACACTTGAAAGTGGGCAATTTATAAAGAAATATATTTCTTACAGTCCAAGGTTCAGAGAACACATCTGGTGAGGGTTTTCTTCTTAGTGGCCTCAGCAGGAGAGCTAACCTCGTCACTTGCCCTCCTTATAAAGCCATCAGAATCACGCCCGTTACTCCATATATGGATCGACCCATTCAGGAGGGTACGGTCTTCACCATCTAACCACCTCTCAAAGGCCCCACCTTTCAACTACCATAACAGGACTTCCCACCCTCTTTACACTGTTGCAATGGAGATCAAGTTTCCAACACGTGAACTCTTAGGGGGCACATGTGACCTTCCTGACACGAGGGGCTGCCCCTTCCGCCCGCAATCATCTCTCCCTCCTAATAAGCGAGCATGTCCACCGCGGGGCAGAATCTGCAGAGAACCTCCCCGTGAAGACAGCGGGCGCACGACAACCCGCGTCAGCCCCAGCACCTGCGGTCCCACCCCAGCCGCCGCGCTCCTCCAGGAGGCCGAGCCTCCCACGTGCTGGGCCCGGCAGACCCAGTACATCAGTACCGTGGTGTGCGGACGAGGGAGGCGGCTGGGGAGACAGACACGGGCCTTGCTAGCCGGGAGACCTCGGGTCGGCTACCGCCTGGTCGGCGTGTGAACCGCACGCTGGCGCCAGTCCCGAGAAGCTCCTCGGCAGAGCCCGAGCTGCGCGGGCGGGCAGAGGCGAGGGCGGAGGGGGCCGCGGCCGTCGGGACCCCCGCGCGCCTCACTTGCCCCGTCTTTGGGCGCCGCTGCTGCCGACGCGCCCCTGCGCCCCCCACGCGGCCCTCTCTTACCCCGCGCCGCCGGCGCCCGCCCTCCGCCCGCACCGTCGCCAGGGCGACCGCAGACAGGACACTTCCGGCGGCTGCGGAACTTGGGCGCCGCGCACCGGAAGTCCCGCCTCCTGCGTCGCGGAGCATGCCGGGACGGCCGCTGCGGCCCGCGGGGACCATAGAGAGGCGAGCTGCTCCGAGCTGCCCTCGCGCGGTCGCTTTGGGGACTTCCTGCGCGCGTTCTGGAGGGGCGGAGGCGGACGCAGGACTCCAAGGTCAGAGAGACCCGCTTGGGATGTCCCGGTCGGGGACAGGCGCCCAGCCGCTGCTCCGGGTTCGGGCCGCCTGGTCACCGTCCGGCTCCCACAAAGCCCGGCGAGGCAGGGCGGTCAGAGGGGGTTCCCACCCGCCGCGTGCCCTTTAGCTGTCTCTGGACCTCTCTGTGCTTGTTTCATCCTGTCAATTGTATCTTATGATTTGGTTGAGCAACCAATGAGAAAAACCTGTCTGAGAGGCTTTCACCGAGGCTGTCCCAAGTGCTTAGCACTGCCCTAGGCCAGGCTGGGTCTCGGCAGGTGGACGAGACTGAGCACCAGTCCAGAGGTCAGAAAGTGGGGGCCCCACATGCAGATCTCACCTTCCTGATTACCTGTGCACAACTTTGGGGACCGTGGGCATTCATTCATCCGGGGACACTCCAGGGCTGACTCTGGGCTGGGGACTGGGCACGAGCCTACAGTTGCTCCCATCTGCGAGCTAGTGAGCATCAGACCACCAAGGCCTTCCAGGGTGGAGCAGGTGAGAGGGCTCTTAACCCAGCTGGGGCTGAGTCACCGGTGTCCTCCCAAGGCCTGATCCTTGGAAGAGGGGTCAGCTGGAAAACTGTAGGGGGTGACAGCTGTCCAGGGAACCAAGGAGGTGGGCTTTTGGTGGCAAAGACCTAGAGCCAGGTGAGGCCAAGCCGGAAGCTTGGGATTGGCACAAGAGTGAGAATTGAAAGGAAGGAACCATGAAGCTGCTTGCTCCTAGAGAGCTTACCAGGCACCTCTGTTCATTCTCTGCATTGTGCCAGGATCTGTCCACATGGGGCTGGAAACCCAGAAGTAGACAAACACGTGTCACTGTGAATTGCATACCTGTTTTTTTTTTACCATGGAATGCTTCAAAAGTATACCAAAAAACAGAATAAATGCATGTATATCCATCTGCTTCTTGCCTCACCTAGACTGCACCCCACTCAGCTCACAGCTGTGGACAGCAGCACCGGGCCAAGGTGGGTGCAACACCTGAGAGTTGCTCTGGGTGGCCACCCTGCTTCAGGCCCAGCAGGTGAAGGGGACATAACCACTTGGTGACCTGGCCTACACATTCCCCCTACCCCATAATATGCCATCTCTCTCCCTGGGGCACAGGAGCAGGTCTGTGGTGAGGCATCTTCCCTGGCCACCCCAGCCCTGCTTGATGGGTTCTCCAGAGCCATTGTGTACACCCAGAAAAAAACCTCATTCCAGCACTTTCCTGCCACACCACCCTGTCTTTAGTCTGCTCCGACAAAACCCAGAACCTGCTTTCACCAACTAGCAGGAACATGAGATGGTGTGTGGCAGCGAGCCAAAGGACGCACTCATTCGTGACTTCTAGAAAGCTCTATACTTTCACCTGTAGCTAAGGTCAGAGTGTCTAGCGGTTTAAACACCTTGTCTGAAAGTTCAACCGCGTGATCTCAAAGAATGATCCGATGCTAGAATCCAATCTGTCCACTCCAAAATGTAGAGCAACATGACTCTCACACCTACAGTGAGTTGGTCGGTGTGGTCAGGCACAGGTAGCAGTGGTCTAAGTCTGCCCCTGAGCCCAAGGGGCAAGAACATGAAGGCTTCATCTGCCAGCACAATCTCCTGTTAGAACAGGACCAGAGACGCATGCCCTAGCACTAGAGGACGGTAGCCTGACTTTCAAGTACAAAAACTGGCTAAGTCAGAAGGAAAAGACAGGTGTGTGAACTTCAGAATTTATTTAAAAAAGAAACCTGTCAATTTGAACAAGAGGGAAAAAGGAAATTTATTAAAAAAAAAAAAAAAATCTACAGGAAAATAGCCAAAGGCACACAGCTCATGCCATGCCTTCCCGTAGCAGGGGAGCGGTCAGAAGGCACTCCGTACACACTTTAGCTTCCTGAGTCCCACCCTTCACCATGCAAGGTGCTGCTCCAAGTGTGCGCCAAACCCCAGCCAAGAACAGCGTCTCAGGTGTGAGAGTGCGTATAGGTGCACTTAGATGGCTTCACAACGTGGGTGCCTGCAACCTCGGTCTCTGTGGGAGGACAGCAGCATCCACCAAGTGGTGCCTCCGCATGTGGGCCACTGACCACAGGAGCCACCCCACGAAGGCCGCAAGAGTGAACGATGAGCCAGAGGGGCACCAAGTGACAGCGAAAAGGCACAAGCCCCTGTCCGTCCAAGTCAGTCACTTTTGTGATGGTTCACTTAGTGTTTTTCTATTTCCAAAATCAAGGAGGTCAACTGAATTTATCTTACAATTCACGTTCTGGGATGTTAACGGAAAACACTTATTACAGAACTGCTGTTCTCATGTTTAGTAATTTTCAAAAAATCACTGGCTTTTATAAAAATTTCTTCCAACAGATCAGAGTCTATAAAATAGCAGGAATTTCACCAAGAATCCCATATACAGGTGCAACTCATGGACAGGAGTTGCTCCTACTGTGGTGGCCAATAATACTGTTTGAGGTCATGATATTAGTCTCCCATGATAAACACTTTACTCTGGGTGAAGACTGTATTGAAAGACACAGTTGCATGGTCAGATAGAGCAGTGGTGATCTTAGGTGCACTTGGGACACTCAGCTGGAGGCACCCCAGTGGTTCTCAAGAGTCCTCCTCCTCATCTTTAATTTCGGAAATTCTGTCTATCGATTTAAGGATTTCAGCAACAAGATTCAATGTTTCAGCTCCAGAAACCAGCTGCCTAAAATGAAAATGCAGGCGTTAGGAACTGCTCCTGGAGCTGCCCCGTGGCAACAGCACAGGCACCGAGGCGAAGGAGTCACAGGGGAGACAGTGGGTCCCTGTGCCCCTCATCGGGAGGCTCCCCTGAGGGGAGTGCTCAAGGTGTGGCTGACACCACTGCCCCCTGGGCTCAGCCCAGAGGGAATAGGCAGTCATTATGAATAATGACAGCAACTGGCATGCCCAGAAGTGCTCACGACACCCAGCACCACAATCAGGGGCTTCTATGAATTGTTTTGTTTGTTTTTTTAACAACAGGAGAGAAACTATCATTTCCTTTACTCAGAATCTGTGTCCTGTGGTGAGGGAGCAAGCGGTAAATCTGTGATGTTGATGTCCACGCCTCCCAGGTGGGAATGGCAGCCAGGAGGCAGAAGGTTAAAAAGCCTGCCAGGCTGTCCACACCTCAACCTGGAGGATTAACATGTCCTCCTAACATGGGTCCCTCCCTGGAGCTGCCTGGTCAGAGGGTCACGGTCCCCTCAGTCTGGGCCACCCAGAATGGCTACTGGCATGCCAGCCTCATCCCCTGGCCTGTCCTGAGGCTTCCTGTCCTGCCAGATGCTCACTTTATGGAAGCATGCGCGCTGTTCATAACGGCGTGGAGGTTCTGCAAGGCCACGTCAGTGTTCTGTTTCACCACCGTCAGGCTGGCGCCCTGGCCCGACCGCAGGGCTTCATTCTCACGCTGAAAGTTGGAGACCTGGGCCTAGGTGGGGGAGTGGTGGGGGAGTGGTCTGTAAGGACTTTTCTGGCAGAACAGAGAGCACCTACAGGCAACCCAGCTGCAAACAAATGCACCCCCATGGCCAAGAGGAACAGACGTGGCCTGGGACCCGGCCACTCACAAACGGGCTCCTGCCCACCGTGGGGGCTCCCCTGAGGAAGACCAAGGCTAACACCTTCCCCTTAAATCCAGAATGTACTGAGCACCTGGCTCTACGGAAATAAGGAACTCCTGCAAGTCTGTATCCCATCCCGGACACGAAACATCCAGAAGAAACAGGGCCAGAAGGACCCCATAGTATCCCCCCATCTAAGGCCGAGTGGAAAGCTCACATGTCCCGATCTTCAGTCCTTCGTGTGCTTGGGGCACAAGGAGAATTCCAACAGAGGATCTTCCACTTTTGTTTCTTGAATTCACATATATGTGACTCCACAAACCAATGGAAAACACTTAAGACCTTTTCTCTAATTACCTGGAGCAAACTTATTTCCTGTTTCAGTTTCATGACTTGGTTTTCTGCCTTTACAGCCCGTTTCTGTTACCCAAAAAATAAACACAAAAAGCATCACTGATGACACAATATCGATACAGAACTGTTGCCACCCCAAAGGGTTGCTGCCCTTCATAGTCCCTCTGCCCCACCCAGCCACACCCCCACACTCAGACAGCCCACCCAGTGGAACCTGTGCCCTGGCCCTCTGCTCACTGATGGCCTTGGGAACCAGCCATCAAGAGAGATGCCGTCCCCCCAAGGGCTGCTGCTGCTCCACCCACTCCCCAGCTCAGGGAAAGCAGCCCCTCCATACGGTCATCAGCTCCAGGTTCTGCTCCACCTGCTGGACCACCGACTCCAGGTCATGGTAGTCGCTCTCCTCCTTCATTGTTTTTGCTTCTAATTTACGCTCAAGTGTTCTCACCCTTGTTGAAGAAAGAACCTGAGCTATTGATGCACGTGACTACTTTTGAGAACACTTTTAAAAGACACTTATTTGACTGATTAGGTAAAAGCCACTAAAAGCCCGTCTTTAGAGAATGACCCCTGAGCTGGGTGCGGGCCCAGTGCTCACACAAGGCTCGAGGGGCCGCTGTGCAGTTCCGTGGTCGATTTAGAGCTAATACCCAAAATACACTTTTAAACAGAACACAGGAAATGTGTTTGCTGATGAAGATTTACATACAATAAAACCCAGACTCAGTTCAACTCTGATTCCTTCACCATCAGTAAAAATTGCTTTCCCTGAGCTTACATTTCTGTTTGAGTTTCAGAGAAGCTCTGAACCTCATTCAGTTTTCTTCTTAGCTTAGAATTTTCATCTTTCAGCTGTAGAGAAAGAAAATCCTTATTAGAAACTCAGTATATCTCACCCAAAAGGGGTATGCACTTCTGGAATTTGGCATTGGAACTTCTCAATAAACGGAAACATCCAGGTCAATGGAGAGTCAACCTACAGGATGCTTACAGAGAAAGACTACAAATAAAGGTATCCACTTTTTAAAGACCTGTGGTCACAGACTCCAATTTTACTCACAATTCAGAACTTTTAGTGGTGATTATAATTTTAAAAAAAATCTCCTACACTTATAATACTTACTAAGATGTCCCTGAGCCAGTCTTCCCCAAGGATCTTGCCCTTCAAGTGTCCCACCCATCGAGGGTCTCCACTTTCTTTGAGTTCACACCTAAGATGGGCCCCTGCTCTCAGCCTCCCACAGCACTTCCAGTTGGCTATGTTCACATACATAACTAAAGTCAACCTGGGGGCTGGCCAGTCAGCTCAGGTGGTTGGAGCATGGTGTGTGTGACACCAAAGTCCAGGGTTAGGGTCCCCATACAGGCCAGCCGTCAAAACAAAACACAGTCAACCTGAGAGGAGAGCTGTCCACAGGGGAATTCTATCGCAAGCTGCAACAAGAAAAATTTGTCCTCGCAGTGAAACCCTAGACACCGCCCCCCATAAAGCAGAATGGCACCAGGTTCTCCCCAGACGCCTCTCAGACCTGTGCTTTGCACAGCCCTCACTTACTGCTTCGTAACTTATCTGCAGCGTCCGCAGGTGCCGGTCTCCTAGGGACTCCCCATGAGCCTCAAAGTCTGTGCCAGGACTCCCTGCCGGAGATGCCAGAGAGACACGAGACTCAGTGTCACTCACTGTCCATGGGGGCAGAGACTCGGGCCCAGCCAACTCCGGTGGGGTGGAGAAAAAGGAAAGGTAAGTGCCGCAGGGCGATGTGCTGGCAGTGACCCTCGAGGAATGAGTCTGCTCCACAGCGGATGGCAGGTAGGCCCCGTTCCACCCGTCGTCGTCCTCCTCCTCCTCGTCCAGGAGGTCACCAGCCCCTGTCGGGTCTTCGAAAAACGGCTGCTGGTATTCCAGGCCATAGCCCACGGTTTGGGAGTTGTGGTCGAGACCCAAGGAGTGCCTCGAGGTGTCCTGAAAGAAATGGTGGGGCAAGGCTTGCGGCTCAGCAGCCACTGCCAGGCCCTTCTTTCTCGGTGTCCGACCTTGGGACATAAAGAAAGGCCCTGTCTTGTCCCCACTCAACTCCTGCTCCAGCAGGGACAGCTGCCTCGCTTTGCCACTCTCTCCTCCCTCCACAGGATGCCAAGTCCAAGAGAGGTGCCTCCGAGGGGTTTCCCGTCTAAAGTCGACAACAAGCGGTGCCTGAGATTTACCTTTGAGTAAATCCTACTGCTGCCTGTGTCCTCTTTCGACAGGACGAGGTTCTTGGTTTTCAGAAACTCTTTAAAGGAGAAAGGATTTGCCTCCTCAAGATCTTCAAGTTTATCATCTGAAATAATAGACATTGCCAATGCGTGAAGTCAGCCGAAGATTATTAAAAGGAAACCTTCCTCTTTCTTTCTCGCCAGAGCACGACCGCACTGAAAACTGAGGAAGCCACTCTCGTCATTCCACATGACTCTGGTGACACCAGGGAATGAGGAAGTGACCCAGGGGCGGGCAACAAAACGAGCTGCTTCCACGTTCTAAATTCTCCTCCTTTCCACTCTTCACCCCCTTGGTTCCCACTCATTGCTGGCCACAGGAACCCCCTGGGAATCTTGCAGACGACTGATGCGAAGTGACCCAGGGGCGGGCAACAAAACGAGCTGCTTCCACGTTCTAAATTCTCCTCCTTTCCACTCTTCACCTCCTTGGTTCCCACTCATTGCTGGCCACAGGAACCCCCTGGGAATCTTGCAGACGACTGATGCCTCCACACACTCAGAGCTAATTGGCACGGGGGCAACCCATGCGGGGGGAGGCGGTTTCAAAGCCCCTCAGGTGATGCAAATCTCGGGAACCTCCACTCCACCTCTAGCCTTTCTTCCGCCGTTTCACCTGGCTAACCTGGCCACCATGGCTATGGCCTACCTGCCCCCTTTCTCTTCTCTTTCCCCACTTCCTTCCCACTCTCCCGGCACCTAGCCAGTCACACTTTGGCCCCTTGGTCTGGCAACCATCCAAGCCTCTCGCCTCTCCCAGGCGCCAATTCTGTGCAAAGCTGGCACCTGGAACCCCAGTGCCATCCCGCAGACGGTGGGGCGCACCTTCCCTGTGCCTCAGGCTCTCCTGCCCTGCACCCTTGCTCCTTCTGCCTGCGGGTCAGGAGCAAACCGTTGGGACCCCACCTGGTCTTTCGGGCTCCAGGTACACCACTTATATCCTGTCAAATCGGCAGACCTGCCACCAGACACATGCCTGGCACTGTGTGGACAGAGAAAAAGAAAGGATGACCAAACTACTCTACCTCCAAAGCGTGTCCCATGAGCTCCTGACGGACCTTGCTTAGTACACTTCCCCCTTCCATAGACAAAATCTGCAAAGAGACATCGTCACCCTATGTCTTACTCACGGGAAGCTTTCATGACTACAATGTTTTGGGATTTTTTTTTGGTATATTGAGTCTCTAATGCAGTGGTTCTCATTGCTGGAGGAACTTTAAAAAATACAAGTCCCAGAGCTCCTGCCCCTGGTGATGGTCTGATTTCCACTGACTGGCTCTGGCACCTGTGATTCTGATGCCCAGCCAGGGGGTGGGGTGGGGCAAGCACATCCTCCTCTGTCTTGTGTTACTACCCCCTGAATGTCCTCAGACCCTGATGTAGCCATTTAAATATTTCTGCACGCCCCGGGCACCAGGCAGCATAGCTACTTGGGAAGAGGGAGGGTGAACTACATCTGCCCACTGCCTGGCCGCGAAGGCAGAGAGATACTCCAGCTCCTCCCCAACCACCGCCTACGGGATGGAGGCTCCCTTGCCCTCGCCCCCACCTGGAAGGATGAGATGGCCTCCTGCGCTCCACTGGATACTGCCCATCCCCTAGTGGAACAGTCTGCCTGGGGGACGGGGACTGTCTCCCCAAGACCAGCCTGTGAGCTGCTAGCGGCCGTGCTCCCGGTGTCGGCACCCAGCGAGCGCACAATGCTCCCGCCTGGGTCACCAGACCGGCCCTTGTCTCTCACCTGTGTCCCCCACGGAAGCTAGCACCGGGCCCGGCACATAGCACATAAACGTCGGCCGAATGCCGAGGAAGTGGGAGTCCAGGTCCCCGCCACGGGGGCGCTCACAGTCTAGCTGGGGGAAACCAGACCGGCGCTCATAGAACGCGGGAGCTGGAAGCAACAACGAGAGCGACTTGACCGCGCCGGGAGCCCGGCGTCGCCGCTGGGACCCCGCCCCAGCCCCGGCCCGCCCCGACCTCCCGCCCCGTCCCCAGCCCACCCCGACACCTGCTCCAGCCCG